CATGAATTATTTTTTAATTTTTATTCAAATACTTCACCTTTTTATGTTAGAAAAAATGAGGGAGAGAGAACAATTAGAAGAAGATTATAATAATTTTATCATTAAAGTAATAAGAAATAATACTCGGTTTAAGGGTTCTTCAAATCACATATCTAATTATAATTGTGCTAAAATCACATATCTCATTCCCTGTTTAAGGGTTCTTCAAATTTCCTTATAAGGAAATAAAAATTTAGAAATGAGAATGAAATGGAAAAAATATATAGATATGTTGTTTCTTTGTTGGAGTTACCAATTGCAATTTTTATATGTGCATATAAAAAACTATGTTTTTTTTTTTTTTTTTTTTTTAGAAATGAGAATGAAATGGAAAAAACTATATAGAATGTCTTGTGTTCTAGTTTGTTGGAGTTACCACAATCTGCAATTATTTATACTGCTGACATATAAAAACAAACTATGTTTTTTTTTTTTTTTTTCTTTTTTATTGAATTAATAAAAAAAAAACTATGTTACTTGGACTATGTATTACCCTACATTGAAAGTGATGATAACACCTTTTCTCAAAAAAAAAAAATGGAATGGTATGACGTCATGCACTAATAGAAGGTCATGCGTCTACAGTCATCCGTGCCAACATTTTGCCATTAAAAAGGCGCGCCCCACAACAGTGGTTTTTTTTTTTTTTTTTTTTTTTGATAATAAAAAAAAAAACTATGTATTGACTATGTATTAACCCTACATTGAAGTGAAGATACACTTTTCTCAAAAAAAAAAAAATGGACGTGCACTAATAGAAGGTCTGTCTAATCATCTCTTGCCAAATTGCCATTAAAAGGCCGCCCAAACAGGGTCCTCCGCTTCCCTTTCAAGCAAGGTCCATATCAACTGTTCATTCCCTGCCGGCCGTTCGATTAATGAATAAGATTTGTGATTCAATGAAAGAGATCATATGCGGCCACGTCTTAGGTCACAATTAGCTCACCCTTCACTGTATAACCAAATCTATGTACTCCCGTTTGCTCTTCCCCATTTTTTTCACTTATTTATTTTACCACTGCCTTTATTTTTAATTTTTAATTCATGGGAAATTATCATTCTGAAACTCCTAATGTTACTGTACTTCCATTTTGGTCTTTGGAAATTTCCAATTTTCTTACGCCGAAATGAAAATTAATGTTATCGTAATTCTAACAACGTATCTTCATATATCAGAATTTAATATATAAAATATTATAAGTTTAGAATTCAAAATGAGTTTTTTTTAGGAGAGTTTTTCCTCTTGCTTAATTGTTGTAAGTACGTGTAAATTCATATATAATATATATATTTTTCATCTTGCTCTTTTTATTTGGGAGAAACGAATATTGAATTTAAGTTTTTACTCAAATTATTACTGTTCTTTTGTTTTAACCCTTGATTTATTTTTTCACCAGAAAAAATGTATTCTAGGTGGTATTAATTTTTTTTATCCCTCTCTCTTGTTTAATTTTACTGTCTTTGTCACGGGATTTCCCAATTGACTTTGACTACATAAATAATAGAGTATAGAACCTTTTTGTTGCCGATCTGGTGTTGAATGATCCTACCCACCCAATGGGTTGACTTTTCATTTTTCTAAAATCTCAACAATTGAAAGGGTTAATCAACTTAACAAATACTTAAATTCAGATCCTCATGTCTTAAAATCAATACTCCCTTTGACCCACCTTAACAGCAATAAATAAACATTTTACTTTGATTTACTTTAAGTGCTCATTTAGGATTTTAAAAGTGCATTAATTTTTTTTTTTTCAATTTTACTCATATTTATTAGGTGTTTTGTAACAAAATTAATAAAGAGTTTTTAATTTTAAGAAAGACAATTTAGACATTTTATCATTATTTTTTAGAAAATCAATGTGTTCTAATCATTTTCTCAATTCTTGTGAGAAGATCCAATGTTGCTATTAAAGTGGAACCGATGGAGTAGAGAAAACATTAAATTAGAAAAATAATTAATAGAAAATGTTTTTTTAATTATTAAATGTTAATTTAGCATTTACAAGTTACTAAAATAAGAATGAGTCTACAACTACAAGTATATATTACAAAATCCATATTTGTATTTTGTACACATTGTTTTGCCCATATGATGATTACATAAGACAATAGGTGTAACTACAATTTTTTTTTTTTTTAAAACTGAATTGCATAGACACATCTCCAAATATAACATCGAACTAATTTTCAAATACCTATTGTCTCGCCTTGAATCAAAGTATCAACTACTATTTGTTCCGGCCATTCAACCACATCTACTTGACTCTATTAATTACTATGTCCAATATATATACATGCTGCCAATTACATACTTGTGTTCTATGATTTCCTTTTTTACGATAATTTTCAATTTTAACTTCAACTTAAGTTTATAAAAGGCAAGTTCGATAAAAATTGGATGAGTGAATGTTGGATATATTCATAAAATGAATGATACACGAGTATTGATGTTAGGATAATAAGATGAATATATGGTAATACGGGATTGAACAAAATTAAAATAATTACATCTAAAAAGAGATGCAAATAATAAAAATTAAAAATAAAATGGAAGAATGACGTCTTAAATGATTCAATTATGTCTTATATTCACCCCATGTACTTTAGTTCGTAAGTGACTACACTGGAGGTGGATCTAAAATCATACGGAGAAAAGTTGTTTCAAAATATATATTACTTCTTGATAGATGTGTAACCTAGTTATAGTCGAAGCATAATAAAAATAAAATACTTATATAATCAATTTCAATTAGTTTGAAAATAAAATTTAGTTGTTATTCTTATAATTTCGACTTAAATTTAATAAATATTTCTTCATATTAATTTTTTACATTTTATCAATTAAATTATGATAATAATTTAAATTTACAATTTCATAATTTTGAAAATATATTAATATTATTTTTTTTACAACTGATAAATAATTTTAATACTATTAATTAGCTTGAGAGAAAATATATATGGTCTCACATATGGCTGTGATGGGACCCACTGGCACAACATCTTACATCAATCAAAGGTGTCATGGAACCTATTAATTTACTCTATTGGGATTTGACTTCAAAGATTTTGCAAGGCAGTGGAGCCTTTGACGTTAACCGTCCTACACAATAAGCAAAGATTCTTAAGCCAATGAAAAACCCACCACCGGAGGACGGAAAAGATGCTACCGGTGTAAGCCAGCGGAGCTGGCGAGTGTGCTTACGTGGATACATTGTTGACGTGGAGCACAAAAAGTAGTTAACCGTAGCCTAGTCAAAGAGGCTTATGAACAATCTGAACACTTAGGGAAAACTGAATCGTAACTGCCAACGTGGATGAGTTTAAAAATTTTTGTCCAAAACCTTTTGCCACTCAGCTTTCATTTGGATGATTTTTAAGCTAGGAATAAGCAGTCGCTCTCTGCCGTTTTGATGAGACAAGATATTAATATCGATTTTGCTATTTTACACCTCTATTTTTCCATATTTAATATGCTTACTTGTAACTTTATATTTTTATCCCCTCTAGGCTCTAATCACTTTTGAATATTAATTTTTGATACATTTATTCGGAAAAAAACTTTTATTTAGTCCTTCAAATTTAAAAGAAAAAAAATTTCTTATCATTTATAATTTTAATTACATTCGAAAAATTATCAGACTCGATAACAATTTTGTTTCACTTATTGAGTTAAATTTAATCCAATTTAAAGTTTTTTTAATCTCCGTAACTTCGGCTAACTTAGGAGAAAAATTACAAGCTGCAACCATCTCTTTATAAAAGGCTCTAGCCACCATGTCAATACCCCAAGAAAGTCCATCTACATTAATAGCAGTATCCACATTTCTTTAATCCAGTTCTTATTGGACTTATTGCTGCACAAGTAGGAGTCCCAAAGCCCTACATCCGCATTGTCTTTTCACTTGTTACTATGAATTTAAATTTTATCATATTATTTCATTTTGTGTGTCATTTGACCAGGTGAAATATGATAAGAGTGCATACCTCCTATTACTAAAAATTTGTAAATTAAGAGTTAAGAAGAGAAACTAATTTTATAGTTGGATTTAGAATGCAAATTAAAAATTACTAAAAAAACAAAGTTCAGTTATATGAATATATAACTAAAGTCGTTTTAAATTTAAGAATTATTCCTATATAGTTTATAATATTGTTTTAATTATATTCGACTCAAACATATTATATGCATATTACATTGTATTATAATATTACAAACTATTAGAGCATGAATTTAGTCATTTATTTTTTTTTTTTTTTTAAAAACCATTCATTATTCAAAGCTTATTGCTGTTTTTTTTTTTTTAAATAATTTAATGTCCAAATTTATTGACCAGATTAAGCTCATTTTGCACCGGACTGGATTATAAAGAGAATAAAAGCTTTCCCTGTTTTTTTTTTTTTTTTTTTTTTTTGTTTTGAAAAGAAGAGAACTCATAATTATAGTTGAGAATAGAACTCAAGCAATCACATCCGGGTAATTTAACCCATAGTTGAAAACCTACTATGGCGAATAAAAAAAAAAAAAAAAAAAAAAAGCTCTCCCTGCTTTTAAAGTACTAGATATTTCATATTTTAAATTCAACGTCTGTAATTAAAGGAGGTATAATTACACGTGTGCGAGAAAAAAAAAAAAAAAAAAAGCTCTCCCTGTTTTAAAAGTACTAGATATTCATATTTTAAATTCAACGTCTGTAATTAAAGGAGGTATAATTACACGTGGCGAGCATTTATTGGTAAGTAGCTCGTTGGTTCGTACGACTAAAAAGCTGCTGTACATATCTCCAAGACTCCAGCACAACAAAATTACCATTAACTAATAATACAAAATACTCACCATAAAAAAAGAACTGATGAGTACAATATCCTAAAAAAATAAGGGCATAAATGTAAACTTAACATAATGATCAAGGTGGTGATATGTATCTATAAAACCAGACCAGTCTAGGTGTCGCCTTATCCTCTCACTGGTTACTCCATTATGCCTTAATTAAAAAAACTTAAATTCAATTACACTGTCTCTTGTTTCAGCTCTTTCTTCTCTTTCCCTTCTATAAGTCCTTCGTTTATCACCACCAACCTTTGCTACAGCCATAATCAGCTAACAAGTAACCAATGACCATGGCTATGGCTATTGACGGTACTTTCGAGCTTGATTTTTCCGGCTATAGCCCCAGCACAACTACAACCACCACTTCCACTGACCATGCCGGAAACTGGAATGACTGGTCTCCGGTCGTCGACTGGAAAGCTTTATCCGGTCCCCATGACGATTTCCAAGATCTTATTGAGTCTATGATGGAAGATGGTGGATTGGATAATCAGACATGCAATTATAATTCCTTATCCACCGATACTATGGCGGCGGATGATGAAACTAGCGTGGGCGAAGATTTTAAAGGCTTGCGATTAGTTCATTTATTGATGGCGGCGGCTGAGGCGCTTACCGGCGTTAATAAAAGCCGTGATCTGGCTCGGGTGATATTGGTTCGGCTCAAGGAGTTGGTTTCCCCTAACGACGGAACTAATATGGAGAGATTAGCAGCGTATTTCACAGACGCTTTGCAAAATTTACTCGAAGGTGCAGCCGGAAGCGGCGGCGGCCATAGTAATAAACATTTTATAACAAATGGGCCCTACCACCATCACCACCGTGACGATCAAAACGATGTTCTTGCTGCTTTTCAGCTTCTTCAAGACATGTCACCATATGTTAAATTTGGCCATTTTACAGCAAATCAAGCTATTCTAGAAGCGGTGACACAAGATAGGAGAATCCACATCGTCGATTACGATATCATGGAAGGTATCCAATGGGCTTCCTTGATGCAATCCCTGGTGTCGCGAAAGGATGGCCCACCTACACCACACCTTAGAATCACGGCGTTGTCGAGAGGTGGAAGTGGCCGGAAATCAATCGGAACTATTCAGGAGACTGGCCGCCGTCTCGTCGCTTTCGCCGCCTCAATTGGGCAGCCGTTTTCTTTTCACCAGTGTAGATTAGACTCCGACGAGACATTTAGACCGTCGGCTTTGAAGTTGGTCAGAGGAGAAGCATTGATCATGAATTGCATGTTACACCTTCCTCATTTCATTTACCGGGCACCCGATTCGGTTGCTTCTTTTTTAACCGGAGCGAAGACTCTAAACCCGAGATTAGTAACTCTGGTGGAAGAGGAAGTAGGACCAATTGGCGATGGTGGATTCGTGAATCGGTTTATGGACTCATTACACCATTACTCTGCCGTGTACGACTCATTAGAAGCGGGTTTTCCGATGCAAAGTCGGGCGCGGGCATTGGTAGAAAGAGTGTTCTTGGGGCCCCGAATAGCGGGGTCATTAGCGCGGATCTATAGGACACGTGGGGAAAAGGACGCGGGTTCATATGGGGACTGGTTAGGTGCGGTGGGGTTTAAGGCAGGTAATATAAGCTTCGCGAATCATTGTCAAGCAAAGCTTTTATTGGGATTATTCAATGATGGATATAGGGTGGAGGAATCGGGTTGCAATAGGCTTGTTTTAGGATGGAAATCAAGACGTATATTATCAGCGTCTATTTGGACTTCTCCTTCAGAAAGTGATTTGTAAATTAGCAGCCTTTTCATTCTATTATTATTATTATTATTATTATTATTTGTGTTTTCAACCCCTTTTTCTTTGTCAAATGTCAAGTTTTTCCTCCCATGCCACTTATTACACCAATTCCCTCAATCCCACAGTTGTATTTCACTAAAAAACAGCAACAAACTAAATAGAACAAACAAGTAAAACCTTAAATTTGTTAAGAAAATGCAAGAATTTTCAGTTGTATTCTAAAAAACGATGAACCCACCAAAACCCCTTGATTTTTTTGTCTATAAGAAGCTTGTCTATACAGAAATAGAAGATAAAGATTTGATTTGTAAGGTTGGATGTTTGTATTAGTGTTTTTTCTTATTATTTTTCACCATTATTCCACCACTTTTCTTATTTATTTTTTCGTTGATTCTATTGCCTCCAATAGTGAGTAAGTGGTTCGAGTGTTTAGGATTTTCGTAACAAGAAAAAGAGGAAGAGGAATTGATTTGATGAGATTAAGGTGAAATCGGTAGAGATGATAGTAAAAGAATGACGATGCTTAAAAAAATAAAGGGAAGGTGAGTTGAGAATCCGGAGGTTGGTATGTGAACTCGTAAGGAATCTAGACGTCCCAAAATTAATTTTCTTTAAAAAATGGATTTTCTATTCTTTTAATGTATGTTCAGTGGTAAATTTTATAAAAATTAGATTTTTGAATAAATTCAGGCAACAAATTGAGTTTTTTTTTTTTTTATAAAATTTCTCCTAATTTTATTAATTTGGTCATCCCAAAAGTCAAAGGTAGATTTTTGACTCGATAGGATTTAAATTTGAAAAATTAAGTCAATACATAAATTTAATATTTTAATTAAGCCAATCAAACGAGTTCTCGATTCCTACTTTGTGAATGACATTTTACTAATCACTAATTGATTGCTTCTCTACTTATTACTTGTACAATCTCTTTTAAAAGAGTTTGAAAGGATGATATACAAAAGTTTGAAATTCAAAATAAAATTTTATAATCTGAAGTTTATATTTAAATTTAATAAAAAAAAAGTATAATCTCTGCCCCTCATCTTTTGTCCGTAGTACCACCACCAAGGAATTTGTGGTATTGAAGGACTAAAATAAAATTTAAATTGATGTAACACCCCATCGATAACTTTAAAGATGACAAAATAGGTCATGACATGTAATTATAATTTGTCAAATATATAAAATTAACATGTTAGGATTGGGTTTTAATAGATTCCGAACCAAACTAATTTAACATGTGTGTAATACATTCAAACCACTCAAAATACAAATTAAACGTGCTAATGCAATCCGCGTACAACCCACTTAATTAGATTTGATTTATAGGATGGTAGGTTTGAATTTGTGATTTTGTAAAGTTTGAATTAATGGTTTTTCTTATCGAATTTCTACCTATTTCCACCATTATTCCACAACCATTTTTGTTTGTTTTTTCGTTGGTTGCCGCCATCACTGGACGAGTGAGTGAATTTCAAGTGTTTGGGAAGAAAAACAATAATTTGGTCGGTGCAGATTAAATTTAGGAGTAATATAGACTTCTTATGTCAAATTTGTCCTGTTTTTGTTGATTTGGTTTCTTCTAGGATGAAGATTCAAATAAACCAAACTGAATTAACTTGATTTCGATTTGTCCAAATATGTTTTTATGATATTTAAGTTTAAAACTAAATAGTGTAACGATCAATCCAAATTGATTAAATTGATTTGATTCGATTTGAATTTAATTATTTCAAATCAAATTAACTATTTTGGTACATAAAATAAATTTGGCTAGTTACATATGTTAACCGAACCAAAAATTAAAAATCAAACAGTTTTATATACCCAAAATGAATTGGTAACAAATTTTTTAAACTATTATTCAAATTTAATAAAATTAAATCGATTTGATTCGATTTTTATTTAAAAACTAAGAATTGCTCGACCCTGGTCACTTCAAAAGTAGGGAAAGTTGGCACGCCTCTCTAATAAGCTGCTGTCTTAAGTCATATCCCCTAAAGTTGGATTCAAAAACAGGCAGCTAAAAACATTTCTGTCATGGGTACATGAACCTTTCGCTTGTCTAAATTATTTACCTTTTATAATAAGTCAGTTCATATCATTGAAAAGCAAAGAAACTATGTAAGCACGTGACTTTGAACCTAATGTTTGCCTTTTAAGATAATAGTAACTATGAATTATGGGATTTTTTTTTATTTTTTAAATTCCAATAAACATATGTAGATTCAAAATTGTGCGGCAGATATTTTATGTTGCCAATGCAAAAATATATATTTATTAATACTCCACTGTCCACCATTATCTACCTGCTCCTGTAACTAGGTCTCAATTTTACAAGAGCTATGTCCGGCACATGTGTGGAGCCTGGAGGCTGAGAAACTTTGGTTTCAAAGAATGGAGAGAGGTCAAATAAGTGCTTCTCTCTTTCAAATTGGGTTCTAAGTGCACAGTACTAACATTATAGCTATCCAGCACTTGTGACTTGCCTAAAAAGAATTTGAGGTGTGAAGTGAATCATGTTTATATGAGGCTGCTCGAGTTTAAACTCTAAATAGGTTAACGTTTCGTAATTCACTTCATCAACCTCATCGACCTTTAAACATTAATGTTCATAACACTAAATACTATTTTAAAATTGGTTTTCGAATAAGTTCTTAAACATAAAAATTTTTAAATTTCTACAGCGTTATAGAAAATGAATGAATCAATCATATCATATGCTATTGACTTATTAATTTATTTACACTACATGCAAGAAATTGTTATATATAATTATTGTTTAAATTACAAAAATATCCTAACTTTATGAGTTAGTTGTAAAATCACTCTAATTTGATATATGTATCCTTTGGCACCACATTTTAAAACTTAGATATATTTACACTCCAAATTCAAAAATATCTAGAATTTTAAATAAAATAATATATTCACTCGTTACCCCTGGGTTAACTTGACCCAAGGGACATAAAATGCATTGTTTTGGAACAACAACATAAGCACTCTAACGTCATAAAAACATTAATCTTTTTTAGAAACAAAATACCTCGTCTCCCTAATTACAACTGAACTACCTCCAATTACTGCACCTAATTAACTAAGCAAACATGAAATTTGTTGCTTGATTCCCTCCCAAATCAGTCACTAATTAACTGATCAATCTACTAATGAGAGTCAAGAGAGAGAACTAATTAATCTACTAATGAGAGTCAAAAGAGAGAACTTGCGTGGGTGGTTTTGTTCACAATAGATGTATTTATCAAGAGACCAACCAGGCAAAGCCTAGTATTAGCAGATAAAAGAATGAAGTCTCGTCTCTAACTGTTGCCATTGTCAAGTAGAGGATTGCAGAAAGAGAAAAAATCAAGTTAAAAAATTAACTTTTAGAAAAAAGAGATGAAAGATTTGGTTGATTCAATATTGGCTGCGTGGGTTCTTTGGAAAGGAGTGAGGAGGAAAACTTTGTAACTGTAGGCTACGTGTCTATTGCTTGAAGGAATTATGGTTACATATGCATTTGCTGTATGAATAATCTTTATAAAAGCTAATTAATCCAGAATAAGTGTGATATAATTAAGTGATTAGCAGATGGGAATCATAGATAGATTGGAGATGAGATGGTGGAGAGCTTTCAACCATGAAGATAGATAATAAAAAATAATACTATTTTTTGTTTTTCAAACCTAAAATCATTGTCAGGTTGTATTTGCACTTATCACTATATTATGTCTAAGTGTGCATTAAATTTACTTCTTTTATTATTGATAAAAAACTAATAATTTCATATTCTATTTGCATAAAAATTAAAAAATAATAACTTATCTAAAAAAAGTTTAAGAAAATAAATGAACTTATATGTATAGTTGAAAACATACATAAGTTGATTTAATATATATAATGCAGTGCAGGAACCTAAAGCTAATAATTATTATTTATTACTTAATTATATTCGTGGGAATGGAGGAGAGATATTGGTGGTGGGCATATCGTTCTCTTGTCATGTCTAACACTGCTTTTTAAATTGACAAGTATTTGCCATAACATTGGAAGATTCCAGAGAATGTACCAATCACAGCACACTCATTTATTTGTTTTCCATTAAAAAGTAAAACTTTTATAAACCCTAATTAATAGAAAGATCCCCTTCTTCCCCTGTAATTTTCATATAATAATTACCCTTGATTAATTAATTTAATTAGTTGATTTGCTAATAAATTAACATGAATATATTATTCCTTTGCCACCTCCACCCCATCAGCTTTTTTCTTCAAAGGGAACAGTGATTAAGTTAATCATAAAACAATAATAATTTATTTTCTTTTGTTAATATATTCAAATCAAAAGAAATTAAATTAATAAGGTCATCTATAAATAATATTTTATTGTCTTCTTGATCTTGTAATGACGTGCTTGATGATGAAATTGCAGCCAGTTGGTGTCCCTTACAACTATTGGAAGATAGAGATTGATTAGAGATATATTGATTATATTTTAAATTGGTATTCCTAATTAATTAATCATGTTTTCATACCATGCAAATTTGATGCTAATGACCTTATTAATCCATAATTATTATTTATCATACTATTGATTATAATAGTTGCAGTTACGTAATATAAATGATGTTTTCCAATAATTAATATTAAACATGAAGATTTTCAAAAGTTTTGAAGTTTATCTGCTAAAATAATCAAGAATTTAAGACATACATAGTTTAAAATCAATTATGATATTTAGCATTTTAAATAAATAAAAAGAGATATATTTCAGACATTAGTTTAAATTAGAGGTGGCCATATTATGGTTCCTAGAACCGGAACCGGTGGTTCGAACCGCATCCGAACTGAAACCGAAACCGGTCCGAACCAAAACCAAAATCAGAGATTTTCATTTCGATTTCGGTTCCAGTATTGTTGGAACCGCGAACTGGCGGTTCCACAAACCGGTCGGAACCAGAAGGAACAACCGGTTCTCTAGCCGGTTCGAACCGGCGGTTCTAGCCATTAGAAACTATCATTTTTTTTTTAAATTTTGTTGTGAAATCAAATAATC